TTAAAATGGACTGTAGCAAAGTGGCACAGTGTCCTGTGGTCAGACGAGTCCAAATTTGACATTCTTGTTGGAAATCATGGGTGTTGTGTCCTCCGGGCTAAAGAGGAGAAAGACCACCCCTCCTGTTATCAGTGTTCAGTTCAAAAGCCGGCATCTCTGATGGTATGGGGATGCATTAGCGCATATGGTGTGGGACACTTGCATGTTTTAAAAAGCACCATGAATGCTGAAAGGTATATAAAGGTTTTAGAGCAACATATGCTCCCCTCCAGACGACATCTATTCCAAGGAAGGCCTTGTGTATTTCAGCAGGACAATGCAAAACCACATATTGCGGCTATTACAACAGCATGGCTTCATAGTAGAAAAGTCTGTGTGCTGAACTGGCCTGCCTGCAGTCCTGATCTTTCACCGATTGAGAACATTTGACACATAATTAAATGAAAAGTCCGTCAAAGGAGACCCAAAACTCTCCAGCAGCTGGAAAACTGTATTAAACAAGAGTGGGATCAATGGCTAAACTCAAGAAACTTGTTTCCTCAATGCCCAGACGCCTCCACTCTGTGTTAAAAAGAAGAGGGGATGCTACACCATGGTAAACAGACCCCTGTCCCAACTTTTTTGAGACCTGTAGCAGCCATCAAATTTGAAATGAGCTCATTTTGTGGATAAAATTGTAAAATTTCTCAGTTTCAACATTTGCTATGTTATCTCTGTTCTATTGTGAATAAAATACTGGCTGGTGTGATTTGAAAGTCATTTTATTCACAATTTACACTTTGTCCCAATTATTTCGGAATTGGGGTTGTATTACATAATGTGTGATGATCAGAAACCAGTAAGTTTGACAAATATTTTAAAATAAATGAAATTAAGACAAGAGGCAGACACTTTTTTTGATAAAGGGCATTGATTGCAGGTTAAATGCCTTGCTAAGTTGTACTGCAGGCCTTCCAAAGTGCTTCATAACACATTGCTTACCCATTACATCCACTTGGCATAAGTCATCTCTATTGAATTGTCCTGTGGCCAAACAATAACATACACTTCCCTAATCAATAATGTGAAAGCAGTAATTCAATTACTTCAATTTCAATTTACTTCCAACCCCATTGAATTTAAACATCAATCAAATGGAACCTGTCTGGCAATGTGAAGTAGGCAAAAAGCAGCACTTGATGCCACAATATAAAGAAATTCAAGAACAGATGAGAAACAAAGTCATTGACAGTTATCAGTCTGCAAATTATTACAAAGCCTTTAAGGCTCTAGGATGCTAGCAAACCACAATGGGAGCCATTATGTAAAAACAGAGAAAACTTAGAACAACGGTGGACCTTCTCAGGAGTAGTCAGCCAACCAAAATTCCTCTACCAGCTCATCAACAACTCATACAGAAGGTCAGAAAAAGAACCCAGACTATCATCTAAAGAAATGCAGGCCTCATTTACCTCATTTACGATCAGTGTTCACAATTCCACTATAAGAAAAAGGCAGCACAAAAATGGCATCCATTGGAGAGCTGTGAGGTGAAAATCACTGCTGACGAAAAAGAATACAAAAGCTTGTCTTACACTTAAACACCTTGCTGACCCCTTAGAATTTTGGGACGATATTCTGGGGAATGATGTGTCAAAAGTGAAACATTTTGAAAGACATGGGTCCCTTCACATCTGACGTAAAGCTGACACAGCATTCCACAATAATAACATCATGCACCCTTGTTTCCAAAAAAGTCGGGAAGCTGTGCTAGATGTAAATTAAAACAGAGTGCAATGATTTGTAAATCTTTTCAACTCAATATTTAATTGAATATAGTACAAAGACAACATAATACATGTTGAAACTTAGAAATGTAATTGGTTTTTTTTTGAGAAATAAATGCTCATTTTGAAGTTGAAGTTCTGACCTGAATCCGGTTAAGATGCTGTGGCATGACCTTAAAAAGGCAGTTCTTGCTTGAAAATCCTGTAATGTGGCTGAATTAAAACAAGTCCACGAAAAAGAGTGGGCCAGAATTTCCTCCACAGCGATGTACTGAAAAAGACCCATTGCCAGTTATTAAAAATAATTGACTGCAGTTGTTGCAAGGGTGGCGAATATACTTATCAGTGAATAAGTATAAGCAGTTTTTCTCTGAATTTTGGTTTGCTTGAATTGATGTTGACTCATCCTAGACACCTTGATCATTGCTTATATTTGAGCGTCAATCCTTATATCTCAATCCACGTGTGAAAGTCAGGAATGTACAACCCCAACTCGGAAAGAGCAGGGACAGCATGAAAAATGCAAACAAAAGCAGAAACCATTCATTTCTAAATTTATTTTGACTTGTACATCATCACAGTCAATATGAAGATACGATATTTAATGTTTTGCCCAGTCAACGTTCTCTTTCGTAAATATATATAAATTCCTGCCAATCAAGATGGAGGCAATTTAGGATTAGTGATGAGGTAAAAAAAATAAATAGAATAATGATGCGATTTGAAACAGCTGATTTTAGCAGGTGATTGTAATCAAAATTTGTTACAAAAGCGGCAACAAGGAAAATCATTGAAAGGATTCAAAACATTGTTCCACAAAGAACAATAGGAAGGGATTTGGATATTGCACCCTTTGTGGAGCATAACATAATTAAACTACAGTCGTACTCAGAGAGTGCAGACCTCCACCAACATTAATATTCCACTGGTCTATGATATGCACATTTTCAGGGCAACCATCATAGTTGTACAATTGGTTAAGTTTTGTAGCACTGAACTTTAATACCAACTAGTGGATTCTAATATGTACAGCATTCATTCCTATCTAGCAATCTTGCAATGGTAATGTATCCTTCGAAATAAATTTCTGGATCCAAATTGTGATCTGAATCACTACCAAAATCTGCTAGAGTGCTACTTGGGCCATGGCCCACACTTCCATTAAATATCAGTGTAATTGATTGAGAAATTTGAGAGATATTTTCAAGACAGAAAAACAAACAGATATGGATGAATACCTAACTTCCACCCAATTTTGTTGGTTGACAAAGGTAAAGACTCCAGGAGTCTGGAGGAATTTCAGTGCATAAAGGGCAAGAATGCAAGACTAAGCTGAGTACCTGTGATTTAAAATCACTCAGACCGTCACATCTCCTAAATTGTTTTTACCCATAGTACAATTGTCTGGGTCAATTTCAGTCCCGTTTCATTAATTGATTAACTATAATCTCATTTCAATCCCCAGGGATTGTTCTCCCTGTATCAAGCAGTGGTGTGCCATTCAGTTCTTTCAAGCCTTGGGATTCGAGAGTATGCACCGTCCAGCATGCCCTGTTACCCATGGACTGCCTACCCGGTAATGACCTTGGACCAGGCTACTGACCTTGGCTTGCCTGATCTCTTGTTTTCCTGCTTGCTCCTCAACTGACTCTGACTGCCCCTTGATCATTCTTTAGCCCAGTGGCTTTTCAGATGTTATTCTCTGCCAGTGGCGGCTGGCCAATATAGGGCACTATGGGATTGCCCTCCCTTGTGGAGAGCATGTTTTAATTTTCAGTTTTAAAAAAAACTAACATTAGCCATGACTACGTAAGTTTGTATGTGTTTTAAATTCACAATTACATATATTGTATAAAATATAAATAAATATGTTCAGTTGAATTGTGGGAAACTGGCATTCAGGGGTGCTAGAAACAGCACCCATAAAGGAGAGAAGAGTAGCCAATAAAAGACTGTTGCTGGGGTATGACAGGAGCACAGCAATGTAAATGTGGACAATCAGCGTCATTGAAAATAATGTCTGAAAGGCAATTCTGATAGCGCCCAAGCCCGGTCATGAGCACTGATCTGTAATACAGATCAGTGGTCGTGAGCCACATGAGATATGCTAGCTAGCCAGCCACCGTAAACCTACATATCTGACTAGCTATCTTTCTAGCTAGCCTAGTCTTCCACAAGGATGATGTCCTGTATCTAGCCACAAGTGTTTCATCAACTACCGCAACTAAAGGAGTGGACTTCACCAGCCAGGCATAAAAAAATAGGTATTAAGTCTTGGGATGGTCTTACCCATGTCTAACTTTGTGATCGGCATTTACATTGAGTGCACCAGGCCCGACAGAACGTGATCGTTGATGTAAATACACGCGAAGCGCAGGTCGTTGCTAAGCAATACGCTTTATGTAAAGCACACTCTAAATTCTGTGTTCGAACAATCTTGCTTACAAGTTAGGTAGCTAGCTCGCCTATGGATAAGGTTAACCCAAAGAAGAGCAAACTAGTGAAATAAAGGAACTTTTAGAGATGGGCTCAGAGAAGAGAAACTCACAGCTAAATTAAATTAAAATTATTTTGATTTAGTTTTTTTTACACATTTTTCCGACAGATGTTATCAATAAAAATAAGTCAATTAATTGTTTTTAAGTTCAGTTTCAAATGGAAAACTTTAGTTTGTGCAGTATGCAGTATATTGTTTACTGTCGGTTTTTGTGTATAAATGACTCAGATGTTTATTACTAGAATTAAATAATTACTGACTATTCCACAAAGCACTGGTATCCTGCCATTTGTGTTGAATCCTAGTGGGATGGTTACTGCAAACTGAGTAGGGCACAGCACAGCCCCGCCTAGAATATTTTTCACCAGCTGTCACTGCTCTGTGCCGATTGCAGTTCACAGAACTACTTAATTAGAGCGCCCTAGAGCTTTTTGGAGATCTGCACCTGGTTCTTTCTCTGAAGTTTATAACGCAGACAGCACTGCATCAAGACAAGGCGAAGTCTGTCCCGAGCCCAGTGGTTCCTCAGGCCGGTGCTCAAATCCAGTTTCTGTAGCATGAAGCAACTAGGAGTATTGTGACTCCCCCTGGATGGAATGCTAGTCCATCGCAAATTACCCCGCGGATTTTTACCGAGCTCTTGGTCAGGTTTCTCTAACAATTTTCTGGTACCCAATTATACACCTTAGACGAGTGAGGCACCGTGGGAAGGAAGTGTTTGTTTCCTAAGAACACACTGCTACGGCCGTGGTAAGGACTCAAACTCAGAACCTTTCGATCCCAAGTCAAACACACTTAACCACTGCGCCACCACATCTCTCCACTGCATCAAGAAATAGCGACACACTTTGGCAAACCTTTTTCACTACAAGTAATTAAAATGTGTGGTGACATCCACAAATGGCAGGTAAAACATTACTGCATGAAAATGAAGCCACTCGTTAACTGTGTCCGGGAGTGCAATTGATTTATGAACTTAGAGGTATCTGCAATGGACCATAGTGCAAATGTGTATCATGGCCAGACCGATCAATATTTCAGGTCTTTTTTGGAAGTAATGGACACTGTGCGTTCAGGACCAAAGAAGAAAAGAGCCACCCTCACTTTTCAATAGTCCAAAGCAATGCCCTGTCATCGTTTGAACAGGCACATCACATCCTTGGGTGTTACGGGTGTTATGACACTTTCGCAGAAAACGTGATTCCTTCCCCCTCACTTTTTCCTGAAATACTCATTTTATTATTTTATTAAATAATAAAGGTGAATATAACAAAACAAATACAAAACTTCAGGATATCAAAAAGGGAGTGCACAAAACAAAAAGGGGGAACTGACTGTGGCTACCTGCCCGTGAAGGGGGAAACCACACCTTTAGAAATAAGAGCAGATAGCCAGGCATAGGAATGCCTAAGAGGAGGGGCATTACACAATACAAAGCCCAAAATCAATCCAGTGCTCTGTCTTGATAAGATCTAAAGGCATAAAAAAATGTGATAAGGATCTACAAAGTATAAAATAGTTTTTGAGCAACAGTGTTAACACAAAGCGTCAGCTGAGGACGCGTATGCGGCGAATGCAAACGCAGCGGTGATGATGATTCCATAATATTGACAAAATGTACACTACCGCTCAAAAGTTTGGGATCACTTGGAAATTTTCTTGTTTTCCATGGAAACACACATGAAATTAGTCTGAATAGGAAATATAGCAAATGAATAGAACATGCTGACATTGTCTGAGTTGGAAATAATGATTTTAATGGAAAGTGATGAATATGTACATCAAACTTTGCCTTCATCAAAAAAAAAAAACCCACCTTCACTGTTGATACTGAAACTGGTGTTTGACGGGAACTATTTAGCGCAGCTGCTAGTTGACAACCTGTGAGGCGTCTTTGTCTTAAACTACACACTCTCAGATATTTGTCTTCTTCCACAGTTGTGCATCGGGGCCTCCCACTCCTTTTTTCTGTCCTTGTTTGTGCCAGTTTGTGCTGCTCTCCGAAGGGAGTAGTTGACAGCATGTTAAGAGATTTTAAGTTTTCAATTTCTCGCATTGAATAGCCTTCTTTTCCAAGCACAATAATAGACTGACGGGTCTCTAAAGGAAGTTCTTTCTTTCTGGCCATTTTGAGCCTGTAAACAAACAAACAACTGCTGATGCTTCAGGTACTAAACCAACCTCAATAATGCCATGCTCTCTTTTGCGCTCCCTTATTCGTTCCACAGTTTTCAGCTGTGCAACACATTTGCAGAAGGGTTTTCTAATAATCAATTAGCCTTATAAAATGCTTAACTTAGATTAGCAGCCATACCAGGAGATTGATGCAGAGGACTGACAGTTGCTGATAATAGGCCTCTATGCAAAAATGTAGATCATTCTTTGAAAATCATCTGATTAATTTGAATCGTTTGTGAAATGGATAAAAATGTTTGTGAAATGGAAAAAAATGTTTGTGGAATGCATGAAAATGTATTTTTCTTTGGGATCACTTGCAAATTTCTTTGTTTTACAAACTTGAGCGGTAGTGTAAGTTTCTCCAATATAATAAATTTCAAATCAATAATTCAAGACCTTTGAACACTAGAGTACAGACAGACAGACAGACAGATGAAAGCGATCACGTGCAACCCCCCCCAAAAAAAAAAAAACTCAAGACAAGACAAAACAATTTGGCCTTGGTCCCATGTTTCTGTCATTCTTCTGTAGTGAGATATTGGCCAAAATGTATTTTTGACCTTTTCGACCACTTTGACCTTGAAAATTTGACTGTGACCTTCTAAAAGTGAACTCCTTTGCCATTGGACACATGGCTTCTTGTGATATAAATTTTAAGTTAGTAGCACAAAACTTATGAACACTAGAGTGAGCACAGACAGATGGGCACACAAGTAGACAGATGAATCCGCTTATAGAGCAACACGTGCAAAAGCACAAAAACACGAGACAAGAATTTTAAATACTTTTAGATCTTATCTTATCAAGCCAGAGAAATGGATTGATTTTGGGCTTTGTATTATTAATAACTAGACAGTCCAGTCAGCTGTGACCACATGGGTGTAGCCCCCGAAAGCCCACTTCTCCCCTTTTTTGCACATTATTCGGCCAATACTGTCGCCATGGCAACCGAAATCGATAGGTGTTATAAGAGAAGTGTAACACATGTCCATAGCAAATACGAAAGAAATCGGTCAAAAAAATTGCAGCCTGCACTGCGTCCACAAGGAAATCTGTATGTTTTGCCACTAATTTGCAAATTATTCGGCCAATACTGTCGCCATGGCAACCGAAATCGACAGGTGTCATCAGTGAAGTGTAACACATGTCCATGGTCTGATCTTTACATGGCAGAGTTTTAACCTGCATTTGAGGATGGAGCAATAGTGCTCATTGACAATGGCCTTCAGAAATGTTCCTGACCCCATACAGTGATACACTTCAGAATCCTGTCTGTTTATAATGCAGTGCCGCCTGAGGCCTGAAGATCACTGCCGCTCAATATTGGTTTTAGGCCTTGTCCCTTGTGTACAGAGATTTTTCTGTATTTTGTTTTCTTTTTTTTTTTTTAATAAATTTGGCATCTCCAATCCCACCCGAATCTAGAATGCCCAATTAGCGAACTATATACACAAGCTTGCTCGTATGCGACCCCATGTTGACATCTCAGGAGAGCGAAGACAGTTTGCGGCTCTCCTCTGAAGCACGCGCCTGTCAGCCACTGCTTCTTTACACTCATTGCTCGAAACTTCGCAAGTTCAGCACGAGGGCGGAGGATACCCGAACATGAGCGAGCTTGAGAATCTTCCTGACGAGCGCCCGGCTGGCCAACTAGAGGCGTTTGAGCAACAAACAAACCTACAAACTATTCTACGCGCTACAAACCCCACAGTCCCACCCATTTTACTTCCCTGCAGCGCGAAGCCAACTGTGCGCAGCTCAGAAAAGGCTACGGACCACTGCCGGCTGGTACAACTGGTCTAACCCGCGACGTGGTGCTGGATTTTCTCAATTTTTTAATGATATCATGTACCATAGAGGATGAAATCCCCAATTTCGGTGCAATTTTACATTGAAAAATGCATTATTAATTTGTTGAACTACAGTATTTGCTTACGCTGTCTTTCATAGTATTTTGAAGCCCTCGCTATTTTTACTTCTGAAAAACTCAGACTCTCTGGAATGCTCTTTTCATACCCTATCATGTTACTGACCTGTTGCCAGGCAATCTAATTAGCTGTGAGATCTTCCTCTAGGGTGCATTTTGTCAGCGTAATACAAAATGTTCAATGTTTTGTTGCCCCAGTCCCAACTTTTTTGAAATATGTTGCTGACATCAAATTCAATTTAAGCAGATATTTTTCGAAAAAAATAAAATTTCTCATTCTCCACATGTGATATGTTGTCTTTAGGCTGAAGTGATTTGCGAATCACTGCATTCTGTTTTTATTCCCATTTTACACAACTTCTTTGGAAATGGGGTTGTAGTTTTTGAGTAATGATGCCGTATCCCGTCATTAAAATGGTATGAATATGAACCTTTACCCCCCTGATTTGCACATTAAGAATTCCTCAGTTGAACACAGGATTGAAAGAATCACTTGCCTGAATTAAGAAATGAATTCATTTAACAAGAATGACATGGCATTTATACTAGCATTGAAGACAACAGCCTTTAAACCCTTCGCGCACAGGGCCAGATCATAGAAGCTAGCGTATATGGAACTGTTCAACTGATGCACTCAGTTGCAGTACCCCAGCGATATGGGTTGAACATGGAATGTATATTGAATATTCACAAGGAAGCGATGCCCAACAAGTGCTCAGAATAAAGATGAGTTAAGTCCCACCACTGTTGCGCAGGAACTGTATGAATTAAGCTCCTCAACCAAGCCTAATCAGCAAACAGCCTAACATATTTGCCAACAGCATCCATTTACCAGTTGATTACAATCATTTCTCACAGCAAAAAAAATTCAGTATCCATCCTAGCAGTGAGCTAAAGCCACAATACACAAAAGGTATGCCAATTTAGTAGTGAAAAAATCATCTTTCTGAAGCAAAAATTCAACATGAATTAGATACTATGTCATTCTACTGGCCTTTATAGCAAACCGATATCAAGTAAATACATTACCCTAACATTGATTTAAGTGTAGATACGTCCTTCGCAGAATTCAGTGGTCAGGTATTACCGCAATGATTTCTACCAGAAATACAATATGATTAATACCTGCTAACATTGTACTATGTAAAAGCACAGCTGTAGTTCATACCCACATAACACTTTCTAAAAAATTATATGTTGACTGAAAAACGTATTATCCAAATGACAATGCTGACAATGATTGAAATAAATTAATTGAGCCTCCAGGAAAAGCATGAAATCCATCGCATAACAGCAAGTTAGGTCGTGTCTTCTCAACTTCGCACATTTGAATTACGCGAGCGCACTGAAATGTATTATCTGGGAGAGTGATCAAGTTTTTTTTACGAGATGGAAAAGCTATATACCCATCTTACAGATATGGGTACCAGTAGTTAGTCCGAAGGAGACAGGAGTGGACGGTTTTCTGAGCCTAACAGCATTGATTCTCTGGAGGAAGAAGCCACATATTATCATACTGTTCTCAATGTGTAAGAATTGTTGCTGAGAAAATTTCAGTGATTTTGCTCAATACGTAGTTTTTCCATTACCATTATACCACTGTGTCTTGTTAGTCATTTTGGTTATCATTAACCGTGCGCCTTTGCTGATTATTTTGAAAATAATGGTATATTACTCAATATGGCAATCTTTTTGTATTATTTATCCTGCAT